TATGTAAACTAAAAGTTGTACCTGAAAAAAAATAAAAACTACTCATTTCATTTATATGGGAAGCTATCATTATATTTTTCATATATAACTTTTTATATAAAATTTGTTTTTTTCCAGGGTACTTGCCCATTTGTTTTAACAGGTACCCGGGCAAGCATTTTCATGATTTTTAACAGACTTATCTAGGACTTGTTTTTTAGGTTTACAATGGATGAACCAAACTTTCACAAGTTGTTATATGAACAAGTGTAAGCAAGACTGTCAAAGAGAGGTAACTGAAATATGGAATAAATTGAAAAAAAAAGGATGATTTCCCAAAAAAAGTAGATTCTTTGTTAAATAGGTATTCCACCTTAGCACAAAAAAATAAGGCAACATTATTGACATTCTGGGCATGTGACTGTATAAAGAGTATAAATGTCTTTCCTAAAAAAGCAGCTGCAAAAATTAAAATGTTACAAGTTATGAAACAACAAACACAAAGCATTCAAGACCACATAGAAATTTATTTTGAAGCTGGTCCCTCCTGTATTACTTGTGATAAAAAATCTGTAAAATACAAAGCAAAAGCACAAGATGAATTTCAAGGTCATATAAGCATCTTTAGGAGCAATTTGATTGGCTTCATCAGAAGGCAAAGGCCATGTAACAACTGTACCAGTGAAATTAATTCGAGCACAAAATGATTTACACTGAAAACACAGCGATGGTTGATTTTGTACCGCCACTTTGAATCATCTAGAGGAATTAGCTTCTTTGTTGGAACCTAAAGAAGCACTCATCATCAGTCAAGATGACAAAGCTAGAGTCCCCATAGGATTAATAGCAGCTAACAAGCAAGCTCCCCTTTTAATGCACGTCGAATACTGCGTTACATTACATGATCACAATTGGATGATAGCATCTAGATACAAACTCATATCATCTTTTTATGCTGGCATTTAAATCCAAAAAGACGGTTTAGGTAAACTGGAAACTGTAACATTTTCAGGCCCTACTTACATAGCCATCAGATCAGGAAAGCAATGCTTATTATCAGCTTATAGCCATAGACTAGATTATGAAAGACTACTTGAATTAGAGGAGTTTGACATTGTTACCAAGGATCCAAGAAACAAGTTGATCAAACCGATTCTTAATATGTCTGTGGGTGGTGAACCTGATAAAAATTCAAATTATCAAAAGGTTATTGATGTAGCAGTTCATCATTTTGTAAAGCAAAACATTGATGCAATGTTTGTAGCAACAAATGCACCTGGTAGAAGTACGTTTAATCAAGTAGAAAGACGAATGGCTCCTATTAGTCGAGAACTTTCAGGACTAATTTTGCCACATAAACATTTTGGAAGCCACCTTGATACACAAGGTAGAACAATTGACAAAGAGTTTAAAGGAGAAATTAAACTCCAAATATGCTGGCCAAACATTTTCAGTAGTATTGAAGCAAGTAATTAATGATAATTTTCCAACAGTAGCAGAGTATATTGGCTACAACAAGGCTGCAAGCAACCACTACTAAAGTTGGAAGTATAAATTAAATAACAATAAACTAATAATCTAACAAAAATTTCTTAAAAAAGAAAAAAGTTGTTTCTTACTAAATGTAAACATTTTTTAGTTAAAAATTAATAATGCAAATATCTTTTGTGAGTATAATATATTTTATATATTAGGTTATTATTATAAAACAAGCTATAAATATTATATTGTAAATTATATATGTATATATTAATAGAATAAATAAAAATTCCATATTAATTCATATATATACATATGTGCATGTATATGTATGTAAATGTATTTTTGTATATATATACATAAAAGTGTACTTGTATCTTTGTATTTATTAATGATCAGCATCAGCCACTTTTTGCACAATTGGAATCAGTATCAGCATCAACTTTTTTTTATCAATTACTGATAAGCCAACTAATGGTATTTTAATATTTTTATCCTGCATTATTATAATAATGAAATAATAAATAATCTAAACTTTATGCATTACTTAGTATTTTTTTGAGAAATTGTTTATATTAACTTTCTTTACTGGCTAACTTGTTTATTCTTAAAATGATGTTTATAAGCTTTAACTTAACAGCTGAATACATTTATACTTTTATTACTATAATGTTGTTTTTAGAAAAATTTTATTTTGTGTTGTTTTATTGTTATAATTAAAAGTAACCTATTTAAACATTGTTATCTTTATACATTCAAGTATTGCCTTCTATATTTCTATATGATTGTCATTTAGATATCTAAATTACTAATAAATTAATAAATTTGTAGAATCAAATATATATTCAGAATGGCAGCAGCTTTGCTTGGAAAAGGTATTCCAACAAAATCATGTAGTTGGGTGTGGAGATATTTCCTGAAGATGCCTCAATTGCAATATGTAGCACATGCAAACTGAAGAGGTAACAAAGAAAAAAAGTACAAGAGGTAACAAAGAAAAAAAAAATTTTAACACATTTGTTGTGTTAAAAAAATTTTTTTCTTTGTTACCTCTTCAGTTTGCATGTGCTACATATTTCAATTGAGGCATCTTCAGGAGAAATAGTAAAATATCTCCACACCCAACTACATGATTTTGCATCATATCAATTCAAAACATAAAAAAGTAGCAAGCAAAGAGTTGAAACTTAATGAAGAAGAAAACAAAAGAAGAGCAGAAAATGAACAAAATGTGTTCAGGAAAATCAAGTCAACTGAATCAAGTCAAAACAGTCTCAACAAACTTTGTTTGAAACATTTGAGAGAAAAATGCCCTGGGACATCAATGATCACAGGTCTAAATTAATTAATAACTACATTGCAGAAATGATTGCATTTGACATTCAACCTTTTTCTAAAGTAGAAGACATCTTGAAGATTGCTAAACTATTTATATCCTTCCAAGTAGAAAATACATTAAAAACTCTGTTTTTCAAAATATATACAAAAAGATAGACAAAATATCCAGAAATAAATAAATGATGTTTCATACATTTTATTTACAACTGATGGACAATTCAAAATTTTATGAATGACTTTCTTATTCCAACTTCAAAGGTACATTTAGTCGCTAGAGATAATGCAGCTATTATGGTAACTGGAATAAGAAAGGTAGGTTACAAACAGTTTGTGGTGTTTTCTTACACATTTTGTAACTTGTGTTGAATGATGCTGTATTTGCCAAATATATATTAAAAATATATAAACAACTTGTAAAAACAAGTCCTAGCCAGGAATATTTTTTATCACATTTATGTATTTATAGTGTTGAAAATTTCAGGAAATTTTCCACGAAATTTTGCTCAAAATTTTCGAAAATTAAAAAAAAAAAATTTAATAAACTTTAATAAAAACTTTATGAAATTTATTTCTTTGTTTCAAAAATTTAGGTTTTTTCTTTGTTTTTTATTTGGGTATTTTTTAAATATTTCAGCTAAAAATATATAATAATAAAAACCTACAAGCTTTTTTATCTTTTTATAAAATTCATTTCTTTGTTTCAAAAATTTAGGTTTTTTCTTTGTTTTTTATTTGGGTATTCTTTAAATATTTCAGCTAAAAATGTATAATAAAAACCCACAGGCATTGTAAATTTTTATTATTTTATATCTTTTATTATTATACATTTTTTACTTAAATTTTTTATTTTATTTTTTTAGTCAAATTTATTATTTTATATTTTTTATTAATACACATTTTTTAGTCAAATTTTTATAACCAAGTTTAGCAATTGAAGAATCGCAAAGTAGAAGTAAAATACTTTGTTATATAGTAGTAACTTATATAGTAAGTTGTTATATTTGTTATACATAATTATATTTATATTTGTTATACATAATTATTATTTATATTTGTTTAACATGAGTTAATACAAGTTTAACAATTTTTATATAAGTTGTTATATAAAAGTTTTATTTAAGTAGTTTTATTTAAGTTATTTATACACATATTACTTTTGTGGAACAACAAAAAGATGTTTTCTGAGTTGGTCTGTCTTTTGAGCTAGCGTATAACACAGAGTTCGAATTAGGCATATTGTGATCACAAAACACAATTGCTTTTTACACCTACACAATTAGTTTTTTCTCAAAAAAAAATATTTTTGCAAATGGTTTTTTTTTTGGTTGTTTATTTACTTTTTTTTCTAATTTAGCTTTTTTTTTTTCAATTCTTAAAAGTAATGTTTTCACAATAAAGTATGTCACGCTAAATTTTTTTCTGAAAAAATAATTTAAGATTATTCTTAAACTTAAAGAAATATAATTTCGATTTACTAAACCGATTTTTTTTGTTTCACTTTTTACTAGAAAACAATTTGAATAAAAAAATTTGATAAAAACATCAAACTAAAAACTATTTAAATGAAAAACTTTAACTTTTTGAAGAAAATACATAAATTTTTAACAATATGCTAGATCAAGAAACAATAATTTATAAAAAACATGGTATCTAATTTTTTTTTGCTTTGATCTTACTTGTTTGTAATCTATAGATTATAGACTTGTATGATCTATAGGCATGTTTTTGCGCAAATATGAAGTTTTATGATGAAAATGTTTAAATTTATTAAAACATTTCGCAAAATATTTGTAAAAAAAAAAAAGAGATTTTCGCAAATATTTTGCGATTATTTTTTTGCGATTTTATGATTATTTTAATTTTTTTTTGCGATTTTTTTTGCGTTTGAGCCCTGTAACATATTTCTTGCTTTTATTTCTCTCGACTTTGATGTAAAATATCCAAAAAAGACAAAAAATAAAATCTTTTTTAGATTAACCAATTTTATTGTGTTTTTATTTTGTAAATGTCTAAAAAAAAAAAGATTTTTTTTTAAGTATAAAGAATGCATATAAAATTTTAAAAAAGATAGGAAGATTTATGTAAAAAGATTGCAAATAAAAACATTTTTATAAAGGGTACATATTATAAATGCACTAGCAATGTATAAATTTCAGTTATAACATACAAAAAAAAAAGAAAAAAAATAACAATAAATCACATACACTATAAGAATAGCTAATCAAAGCAATTCTTGTTTCATCTAGTCCAACATTAAAAAAATCAACCAGGTTTGTTAAAAAGTTTTTGACTTTAACAAAGTTTACAATGCCAATACTTCCTGAGCTATCAACAACAATCGAAAGATCCAACTTAGTTTGGCAAACTAAAGAAAATAAATTAAGTTAAATGGCTTTTTGTAATTTTATTTTTTACTCTCTTTTTCCTTTTAAGAAAAAAATTTTTCAGCTTTTATCCCTTTTTAGAAGAACTTTGTGATTTCGTTTTATTTTAATAATGCAGCTTTCCCCAACCTAGACTTAATACAATAGGTGCTAAATAAAGAAAACAAAATTACTAAAAAGAAAGCAAAGAAAATAAATTTTCAATACTTAGCTATATGACAAATTTGAGATGAACTTTTTTTTCCTAAATTCTCAATAAGTAAATAATGCTTTAGTTTTATTTAAACAATAATTTGACAAATGAATCCCATTAAGTTCGTTTAACAATCGTATCAGAAAGATAAAACTCATATGCAATGATCAGCCGCGCAATTAGGATTTCTGAAAAAGGCTTTTTCTTCCTGTCGAACTTAACACAATTCATTTAATAAGGATTAGTAGTGTATAAAGCAGTAACAAGAAAATTTAATTTTTTTTAACAATTTAAAAAGGGGTCTCCAGGTACCATGGAAACCCCCTTAATTGCACTGCTGATGATTGCCCTGATTAGATATTAACTGATAAAGTATCATTAAGGCTGAAAAAATCTTGCATTTAGCCTAATTTGTTAAGGCTTGTATAACAAAGTTGTGTAAATAAGTTAAAAGTCTGTATAACAAAAGTTAAAAGTTTGAGTGAGGATTGTAACAACAGTATAAAAATAAAAAATAAGCCTCCTAAGAAATATAGCAAGTTTTGAGTAAAATTAATATAACTATAATTAAATAAACTATATTTTATGTTTTATCATTATGTATCAATTTAGATTGATACAAAACCCTGTAACCATAACAATGTAATCATATCATATTTGGGCAAATATTTCAAAACTTTATTTAAAAAATTACTCAATCTAAATTAGGGTTTTTCTTTAAGTAGTGAATCACATTTTAGAAAGTAGTGAGCTGCAGCAATATATAATTTTATTTTTTTGACCATGAAACAAATTAATAAGCTTAAATAAACTTTTTAACTTTACCTTTTTTTTTCCAGTAGTAAAGTGTTGCATCAATAATATGATAACAATAACTTTCAACATAGCCATAGTTACACTTACAGTGAGTGTGTTATTTTTTATTAACAACAAGTCATCATGATATGAAAAGGATTCTCTTTGACAAGTAAAGGGGTTGTCAATTTAAAAACAAACGTTCACTTAAATTAGTTTTTTGAAATTTTTATTTACATTTGAAAATAACTTTGAAATGATTTATTCGCATTTTGATTCCATTTGGTAATAACAATGAAGAATTGAGAATAATATCCATTGCATTTTTTTTTTTTTTTGTTATTAAATTGATTTGTTAAATTATTATCAAGAACATTTTTTTCAATTACAGATCTTTTCTTTAACTTCATACTCATAATAATATTATATTATTAATATTAGTAGAATTCTAGAATTCTATATTACAACTTTACAATTTTAAAATATTTTTCATTTAATTATTTTAAAAAATAAAAAGTCTAAAACTAGATTTAACGTGTAGAACAAACTATTTAATAAAAATAAGTCTGTAGCGTAACTGAGTGACGTTAGCGATGTTCTTTGGTGTTTTTCCAAGAAACCGTATTTTTTTAAAGAATTTTCAAGTCCAATCCAATTAGCAAAAATTTAAAACTTTTCCTCAGTTCCGATAAAAATTTATGCGCGCGCAGAGATAAAAGTAAGTCAAAACAAACATTTTTTAAGGGTGAGGCAGGGAAATAGGGGGTGAAACCCCCTGCCCTATCCCCTCATGAATATAAATAAAAACAAAAACAAAAAAGAAAAGAAAACGAAATTGGTTAGTCGTTTATGTAATTGCAAATTTGACGATGATTATAACACGATGAGAAAACATATATGGGCAATTCCACGCTCAAGTGAGTTATTTCGATAAAATGATTAAATAAATTCAAACAAAAAGCAAGGCATCATTTAATTTAAAAGTTTAGTTTAAAAAATTTTAATTTTGATCAATAATTTGTTTTATTTTTTTGTTTTGAATTTTAAATTAAAGCCATGCGTCATACTTTCTATATAAATGGTAGTTAAACTACATCTTGATAAAAGCGTAGAATTGTCCCCGTAAGTAACGATAACTAATTTGATTTAAGGTAGTAGATCCCCTTTTTTAAGGATTAAAATCCCCTTTTTTGACATTTTCTCAAAAATTATTTTTTATTGATTCTTGTAAAAAATTTATCGAGGAACTTGAATTTTACTTCTAAACCAATTACTTTTTAATGTAAAACACTCAATTTAGCCATTTTCGTGTTGATATAAAAAAAAATCAAACTTTTTCGTAAAACTTTGTTTTACGAAAAAAAAGTTTTCTGCTATTTAAGCTTCTCTTCTTTTCTTTTGGTATCTTATTAATAAGATACCAAATTTAACAAAGATACCAATAAGATATTTAAACAGTTAAAAGGAGAAGAAGACACAATATATTGTGTCTTCTTCTCCTTTTAACTGTTTAAATGCTTCTTGTTTATATTACGTAACGTACCTGGAGTTTATTAATTTTCTATAACGCAAAGTTACTTTTAATTTTATACAAAATTTTAAACGATCAATCTAAAATTGTTACATTACAAAAATCAAAATGTCCGTTAAATAGCGGAGGAGTTGCCTATATATGATTGCATATATGTATGATATAAAACATATAGTAGTATGTATGACAAAGGAAATGGTTCACAACAAAAATATCTTCTTAATTACTTAATTCTATTTATACCATGTTGAGAGTGGGAGGAGAAGTGGAGGAGTCAAAAAAGAATTTTGTGAAGTTTTTTTAATTTTTTTAAAGTAGACAAGAAGATGTTAATTTTATCAATGATCAGAAAGGATTGCAAAAATGTCGCGCAAAAACTTTCCAGAGTCCATTAGGAAACAAGCAAGGTTGGTTAGTAAAAAAATTGAGGAGACAATAAAATGTTTAGATACTTGCAATAATGGAGATATAAGATATACTGTCTTATTAGAAAATTTAAAAAGTATATTGTTCCTATTTTTATTCATTATCCGTAAAGTAATTTCATAAATTAGCTCTTGAATTAGCTAAAACAGAAAAGTCTGCAAGTTAATAACAATTAAAGATTTTTTGGACCTGAAAACTAATTTTTTTTTTTTTATTTATTTAATATGTTGTTTGTTAAAAATGACATTACTTTAGATAAAATGACTGAAAACTAGTTCATCAAACTGAAACTTATTGCAGCTATGAGGTATGTGTATATATCGCTATATATTATTATACTTATTTCCAGGTTATAAAAGATTTTAAAAAAATTTGTCACTGGTCTTTCTGTTCTACATTTCAGTGCAGAACGTGCTTCTAACTCTAGTCAAGACCTCATTGAAATTTTAAAGTAGACGGAGATGCAAACTTAATGGTTGTAGCTTTTAATTGTTTAAAATTTAAAACAATTGGTAAAAAATCTTGGATAAAAACTATAAAATAGTCTTTCTTTAAATAAAAAATATACAACTACAAAAATGCTTTATATTTAATGTATATCATTAAAAAAAAAAGTTAAAAATTTATTGACAATAACCATTATCACAAATAACATTTTCTCGCTTTTTATTTTTTGTGAGTATATATTTGTACTCATGTATGTGTATATTTGTACTTATTTATGTGTGTATGTATGTATATGTATATATTTGTATATGTATATGTATATGTATATACATATGTATATATATGTGTGTATATTGTATATGTATATATATGTATATGTATATTTTTACTTTGCGCTTTTGTTTGTATAAAATTTATAACTACATTTTGTTCAGCGATGAACTGATTTTATTTAGTTACTTTGGCTGAAACTAAAATTCTAAGTGTGGGACAATTTTTTTGATGTTTAAAATAGATAAGATTAATTTTACGTGCAACATTAAACTTAATTACATTTATGCTTATATCAAACAAGAATGCATTGCGATAAAAATATTTTTAGGGATGTGATAAACACTTTACTTCCCTCCCCCTCCCCTCCATCTTCAACTTAATGTGACAGCAATAAATGCTTAATTCTAAACTAAATTTATAACCATTGACATATTTTAAATTTCATTATATAATATTTCAATGTTCAAAAGTTATGACAATGTTACAATTCCTTCATTTTGTTATATTTTACATTCGCAAGTATTTGATCGGTTCGTTGTCTACTGAAATTTTGTTGTCTACTGATAAAAAATCTTCTGATGACACTGTTTTATCGCATAACAATATTTTACTTTTTTTGATGGACTTTTTTGACTAAATGACGAATCTTGGCTAGACAACTGAAGGTTTGTTGGTGTTAGCAGCAATTTATGGCTTAATTGTAACAACTCAAGAATTACCTTTTTTAATACAAGAAATTTCGCTGTTTTGTTCGATATAAATTTAAAATTACAAAATCGTGGATCTAAATATGTAGCTGCGTTCAACTTTTTAATTTTAAGAAAATCCTCACATCTTCGATTAAAGATTTATTGAATTTGCTGACAAGATTCATATTTCTACGATTATTTGATTCACTTTTGAAGTTAGCAAAGTAATAAGTTAATTTATAAACGGCTGGTAATATAATTGAACAAGTGGATTATTTTGATCCGCTCAAAATTTTTGTAAAACCATGTATTGGCTCTAATAAATTAATTAGCTCGCCAATTATTTTCAGTACCCAGCTTTTTAATAACAAATCTTTATTATCTTTGTTCTCTGGCTTGATAATAACGTCTTTGATCGATTCGCTAAGTTTGAAAACTGACTGCAACAGTAAAAAGGTCGAATTCCACCGAGTAGCAGGGTCTTGTTTTAATTTTTTAATTGAAAATTTATCTTCTTGCTTGTCAACTTTCATATTATTTAACTCAACACAATATACAGGCTGAGCAGAAAGCTTATTACTATGTTTAAATAAGCCAACGAGTTTCCTGCATTTCTTTAAAATTATG